CCTGTAACATGAGTTATGTCAAAATGTACGTGACAAATACTATTTTGCATCTGAGGAGAATAAAGTTCTACATTTTTGTCCCATGGACTATCTCCAGGAATAATATATACGGTCGGAGCCTTTGATTTCTTCTCTAGCAAATTTTCATAACTTCATCCCTATTTATATTGACTGTTTCCTAGTATGATTTGATTGCTTATTTGTACCCATATTACTATCACTGTGTTGTACCTTATGATTCTTGATGAATGTATCTTTTCCTTTTATGTACAACATATGCACCAAGATAAATTCCTTGTGAGTCTAATCACACTTGGCCAATAAAGAATTCATCCCTATAATCCATACTCAATGCCAGTGATTATTTCAACAGACGAAAAAAGAAATGGGAATGGCACCAGTTACATGGGAAAACAGAATGGCTTTTATGCCTGAAAATGAAAGGAATACAATTAGAGTTCAAATTGCTCAGGTAGGAAGAGAGGATTAGGATCAAACTAACTGTAAGGAAAGGATTAAAAAAAGAAACACTACTTTCTCCATGCAATTTAGTCCTCACTTAACAGCAGTAATTGTGCCTGGAATTTCCATAATTAAGTGACACAATTGTAAAGTGCAAATTCACATGACCACATCGCTTTAGTGTGGGAAACTCCAGCACTTCTAGTTCTTAAGAGAATCCTTCCTGACATCGCATGGTCACCATCTGCAACCTCCTGCAAGCTTTCCCATTGATTTTTCTTGTAGGAAGCCGGCAAAAGATGTCACAAATGGCAGCCACATGACCGTGGGGAATGCTGCAACCATCCTAGGTACAAGGACCAGTCTTAAATATCACTCTTTCAGTGCTGTTATAACATTGAATGGGCGCTGAATGAGTGATTGTTAAGCAAGGACTACCTGTTTATATTTCAATACACCAAGTAGCCAATTAAACTTTCCATCTTGTTACAATCACCATAAATAAAATTACCTCAATAACCAGTTCCTGCATTTCTTATAGCTCCTTGGCAGAAAAAACTGCAACAGCATTGAATGGAAAGCACAATGGGAAATATATAATAGGTCACAGGGAAAAAAGAGTGAATATGCAATTTCTTTGACAGACAATTCTCTGGCTTGCTTTTAACGCCATAACTTATTTTACAATGCGTACATGCTGTCACCATCATAAAGCTTTAGGAAATACACAAAAAAATTCCTTGAAGAAATATGTCAGATGCAACAGGGAGCAAGTTAGTCACTGCCCCCTCCCCCCAGTTTAAATTGAATAGATACAGCAAAGTTTTAAAAGACAAGAACAGAATCCATGAAACGACCAAGCTTAGCACAACAGGTGACATCGACTGATTCTCTACTCTTGCCAGGTAACAGATGCAGTGCTAAACCTGCCGTGTAATCCTATCTAAGTCCACACCGAAGAAGCCACAATATATCCCATGGAACTCACAACAATTGGGATTGCAATTGCCATTGTTAAGCGATGTGGTCATAAAGCATGATGTCGCATGACCACACTGCTTAGCAACGGCAATTCAGGCCGTCTCTGTTGCTATCATAACGCCAGGATGTTCAGGTCATTAGATGGGAAGAGGTTGGAGTCCTAAATAAAGAGTATGGTGGGATGCCCCAGGCAGGCACTGGCGGGGTAGGTAGGCCAACGAAGGAAAAAGACAATTGGAGGGTGTTGAGAGGTGTAGGTAGGTTGGTGAGAGCCAGAAGCAGGCATAGGGATCATGTACTCTACAGTGGAACTCCTTGAAATGTCACAACTTGTGAAAGACTTATGGAAAATCTCTGCTTGTGCGAAGCAGGCAAGAAAGGTCTCAAATGGCAATCCCACAACTGCAGTTTACTGTAACTTCACAATCATAAGCTGGGTGCCAGAGCACTCAGAACAAGGTTATATATATATATATATGAACATGGGGATAGCTGCACAACATTTGCAATTTCACAGACCAATCACAAACCTCCCTCATTCAATGCTGTTGTAATTTTGAATGGTTGCTAAACAAGTGATAACAACTCGAGGAATACCTGTGTACAGAACTGTTACCTAAACGATCCAATCAATACCAAAAAGTGTAAAGATCCTTACTGCAAAAGAAAGCAATGATTCCTTTGGTCTGTCTTAATGGAGAATGGAATATGAAGCAATAGTAGGGCTTCCCTTTCAAAAAGTCCAATACTGATGTCATCCAGCCACAAAATGAGTATATGTTGAAGCAATAACCTGGCTCTTGGGATGAATTCGGATGCACAATTCTGCCCTAAATACATTAAGAACAAGGTGGTCTCAGACAATATTTATATCTATTGCTAAATAAACTTAATAATAAATAATGAAATCTAGTTTAAATTCTCCATTTATAAATCTCCAGTTGTGTCTTACAAGGAGCTTTTTCTTATACTCTTTTCTCTGCCCCTTTTTGAATGCAAGTTAAAAAAAAGTAGTTTCTTTTGCTGTTATTTTTAGTTTTATGATTCAAAATGTGCAATGTTTTGTCAGATCTTAAAAGAGGTTTTTCCTCCTCCTTTACTTTTAAAATATATACCCTGCTTCTCCAACAATACGGCCTCCCCCAATAGGAAGTCCCAGCATGTTTTATAGGCATGAAATGAAATTAAGCCCCTCCCCCCAAATTAAGGCCTATATTAAAACATGCGAAATGGGGGGGAAAGGTGGGGGGGTTTGCCGTTAGGAAGTACTTTTGTTGCACACCTGGATATGGTGCTGCCTGCATTGACCCCGATACGAAGTGCCCCACCAACGCCAAGGTCAACATCCAAGCCGTCGCCACCCGCCCGCCCAAAGATGCAAGGGGGGGGGAATTAAGTCACCCCCCGAAAAGACGGCCTAGCCATTTTTTCGGGGCTCAAAAAAAAATAAGACCCGGCCTTATTATATGAGAAACACTGTAGCTCTTGTACTACCTATATGTTTTCCAGTACTGCCTATTTGATTTTACAAGAAAAAACATTTCACTGCTAAATGATGTGATGGATTATTAAAATTATGTTCAACTCTATAAAAATGCAGATTTGGATCCTTCATACAGATAAACACAATCTTACATTCAGCAACTAAAGTTAATTTCTATTTGAAAGAATGATAACACTGTATTGCATTAAAAAATACTAAAATTAAAATAGGACAGTTATGTACAACAGGCATTTGAAACATTAATACCTTTAGTACTAAAGTGTACCTTGAATACTAAACATTCTCGGCCTTTAATTAAATATGCATAAATTTGTTGCCATTAAAATAATGCAGAAAGAAAGGGATACAGCCTTATTCTTAAGCTTACACATCATAGCATGCACCCTTAGAACCTTTCCAGGTGAGAGAAAAGCCTTTTGCCACATATAGATTTACGAGTATTTTGCTTTATCTGCTTTCTGTGCTGCAGATTAAATATAAACAATGAAAACAGAATTTGATCCTGTAACTAAACATTATAAACATAGTTGTTTGAGAAATACAGGATACAATATCAATATTAAATCTTAAAATATCCTATTGCTCTTGGAAACAATATCCTCTCCATCATTCAACACCTATGACAAAAACATATCTCTGGTCTGTCAGGAGTTATATAACCTTATGCCTAAAATGTGTTTAGTAGTGCAAAGCACTGTTATGCTTATAAATTAAAGATATAAATACTGTCTGTATCAGTGTTAGAGACATTTTTGAGGGGGGGGAAATAATTACAGTGAACACCATCATCGATGCTGTTAATTCCACTCTTGTCATTTGCTTTATTTAACAAATGTACATGGCCACTCATCTCACTGAACATATCTCTGGACAGTGTGCAACCAATAATTAAAACGCCATGTCAAACTACTATAAACAAATAATTGTGGGAGTACATCCATATAAACATATCACACAGGCCGCCCAAGAAAAATCATAGGGAATAATACTGATCCACTTATCTTGTGGTATTGCAGGAATAAACACACCTTTTCCCATAAATGCATGACTTCTTAGAATTATGTGGTTCTGAACAAGTCACAGTAGTCTAGCTACTGTGGTAGTACGGACATGCTAAGCCATAAGTGAACTAAGATATCGGTTACATGGTAAATTGATCAGCCTGGGTTTGGCGACACAAATGAATCAAACAAATCACATGGCTCGATTTGCACAATAACTGAGCCATAAATTAGAAAAATACCCTTAGTTTTAGCATGTTTGCAAACCCAACTATAGTTGGAAACTGCCCAAATATTGTACTATGGCTGACTATTAGATTTTATTGTATTTTTATCTTTAAATGTAAAAGCATGCTAAAGTGTATAAAAATCATACTTAATCCGCTATAAAAAGCAGTAAAATAAGAATTTGAGCAATAAGAATTTCAGTCCAATTCTACACCTCTAACACTGAATAAATGTCTTATGAACAGACTGGTATTAATTTAAAACATGATATATTTACTAGATCTCCTGTACCTAAAGGTATATTTTAGGCGTGAAAATATATCTTGTATCGTTTATTCAAGGTTTGCCAGAATTGCCTAGAAGAGCAAATTGCATGTGCCTGGTGTAAGAAGAGGAGAGACAGATACCCCACCTCACAACTCCCATTACTGCCTCCTTTATTTCAGAGCCTCTTTCTTTATGTAACGGTATTGTCACTAGCTGAAGAAACCAGGCATTTTCTCACACCTTAAACCCTCCACCATCTACCCACGCCTCATTCTCACGACTAGTTTGACACCACGCTACATGTTTATCCATGGCTAACTTAACCACCATGGCGCGCCAAATCAACTCAGGAAGTTAACAGAAGCACACATTGAGTCAAACTAAGCCGATCGCTTTGGGGTTTCCAAAAATGCGTGTTGGGTCCGGGAGAGGTTCGTGGGTCGTGGGAACCCCAGTCCGCCTTTTCTATAGCCGAGCCACCACTAAACTCCGCCGTGTTCTGTAAAGCCCAGTGCAAGAACGCGGCAGAGTCGTTTCTCGGTCGACTCAGATCTCACCTGCTGCTGGGCTCCACCGCCAGCCGCTGTCGCAGCCGAAGAGCGACCCTCGGGACCTCCCTCTGTCCGCACTTCTAGGAGCTGCAGCCGGGCAGGGCGAATCCCGCCCAATCTCCTTTCTCGCCGGCGCTTTTACCGCAGCCACCGGCCGAGCACCGACCCTCCCGAGTCAGCGTGGGGAGGGGGAAGGCGCAGCGGCCCCGCAGTCCCTCCCTCCACCTGCCCCGGGCGCCTCACGTAGCGACAGGCTGCGCTCGGCTACCGCGCGAGGTCCATTCACATCCTCCCCATTCAGCCGGGGCGGAGCTCTGAAGACAAGAGAGCGGGAGCGGCGAATTACTCGCCCCTGTTTTTTGTAGTCACTGTCCTGATTGGCCCCTGCCTGCCGGGAGTGGGGAATCGAAGCTCACTCCGCCTGCCGCCAACTGGAAGTCTGCTTGATTGGAGGAGGCGAATGTCAATCTGGGACTGATTGACGGCTCTTTTACAACGCGCAGTAGCGCGCGTGTGGATTGTTGGGGAGTTGCGCGTGGACTTGTGAAGATTGGTTATTTAATTGGTTATTTAATGGTCTAAGTGTGGAGTGATTTTTTTAAAATAATATTTGGGACATTTCCTTGTTTCACTTACTTGCAGACGCGAAAGCGTAAAGAGATACACGTGTTAAATTAGAACGATCGATTTCTAACCCTGCATCTAGTTCTAAAAAACGTTGCAACAGGTTGCTGCTCTTGAGATTGTGGTATGTTTTTGTTACATTAATAAGATTTTTTTGAATTACTTTTCATCCTAAATTTCATAGCAATGACCAAGCGGAACCCCCAGTTGAATAAACACCCTAAAATACTATGAAAACAATGGCTGTGGCAAAAAAGGAAGAGGAAATTTGTTCAACTTCGTTGAATTTTTCTAAACTGAGGCATCAACCTCATAAATAAACCTGAGAAAACGAGCTGAACCATCTTTTCACAAATTCAGTAATTTCTGACAATTGATAGAATAAATGCAGAATGAAACATGTTTCATGGAAACTACACAGATCTAGGGTTTACGGGGAACAGATGTGGACTGCCGAAATCTGGATTATCACTAGAGGGCAGCAAAGAAGCAACAGCTGGATTAATGAAACTTTCAGATTAAGCAACTGTTCTTTCACGAGGAAAGGATTGGTTTTAACTACAACAAAAACTACATGTCAAAATGTGGTTTTTGGGCATGTTCTGTAAATACAGCACAATTACACGTGTGGTTTAGCCCAGTGTATTAAGATATTGAGCCAGTTTAGTGAATGTGTAGCATTTTCTTTAGTCATTCAGTGTGGCTACTTGCTTTAGTGTGAAGTTGTAAGAATAAAAGCTTTTGGCTTGGATAAATTCCATTCAACTTTTTCAAGTTGTGTAATTCCAACTGAAATTTGGGGAATCACTAGAGAGTTGTCTGAGGAACAAGGGCTGTATTAGTGCAATGACCAAAGATGAATTGGGATTTTTCAGCTGGTTATAAGTATTGATAAATCTAACACAGGAACTAAGGAGGATAGAAACAGCTAAATGACCTGCTGGTGCCCTTCTCAATTATATGTGAAATATATTACTGATATCCATTCAGATGCCACACTTTCACCCACCCATTTTATTTATTAATATACAAATAAGCAAGTAACTGACAAAACAATGACTCTAAAACAATGAACTCATACAATGCAGTAGAAATATCCTTGTACATAAGAAACTTAAATGTCATGGGATTTTCTTTGACTTTATTATGTCAGACTATTTTAAATGAATTACAATAAAAGAGTCAATTAATGGTCTTAAGCATATGTTCATGTTGAAACTGAACTTCGCTTCAGCCTATTTGTAAGCCATCTTACAATACATAAAGAGTCAATAATGCGTGGTTCCAAGTAAAATTAATAAGATGAAATAATAAATATTGATCCTTTATGTGGATGAATCCAGTCTGTAATAACATCATGTACTATTAAGAATCAAGGGCATTTTGAGAAGGGATACAACTGCAGTTCAATTATTGCATGTTCTATTGAACTACTTTTATGACTAAGACTCAAGGTGGCATTTGGTATCATTCACACCATTTTCCCCACCACAATAACCCTATGAAAACAGTGAGCTGAGAGTAGATTTGAAGTAAACCTCAATTCTAGCACAATACTATATCCATTATACCACATTAGTGAATTCAGGCCACAATATGGCACTGTTTGGATTTCTGCAATGTGCCCTACATTTGAAAACCTCAGCTGGTATAAATTGTGGTGGCTCAGGCAGATATGGGCACCGGTTGCTTACCACATGTGACTGCTCAAGCTGAATTGACTACAGGTTATTTCCAGATACAACTAATGGTGCTGGTTTAAAGCCTTCATGGTTTGGGGCCTGGCTACTTATGGGATGGTCTTTCCCCAGTAGTGTCTACCTATCCTGTCAGATCTGGCAGGAAAGGCCTGCTCTAGGTGCCTTCTATAAGGGTCCAGGAAGAGAGCTTTCTGCCCTAGGACTACCCTTTATGACATTATTCCCTCAAAAATTAGACTTTCTCTGACCTATCTTTTCACAAGATATTAAAAACCTAGGATTTGCCATCAAGCCTGGCGCTATGATAGTATACGTGAACTTATTTCTTGATCTTGGCTGTGATAGTTGAGTTCCTGAGCTGCTTTGTTATATTATTTCTGTTTTTAAATTTGGCTGGTTTTTTTACTAAGTTATTTTGCCTAATCATGCAAATGAAATGGACAGTTTTTTTTATTAAGTTTGTTATTTATAAATTTAATAAATAACAAACTTCCTAAATGTTGTGATTACATGTCATACAGCCAGTACATGCCTATCACATACCCTCAATAAATTAAGCATGCAAACTGAGTGGCCTATTATGTAAGAAGAACAAGAGGTATAAAGCTCTGAAATAATGATTATAGGGACTTTGATGCTCAAGCTTTCTACATCTAATGTATGCATGGCGAGGGCTGTATAAATCTTGTCAGGCTGAAGATTGCACTTGGGTTGTGAATCTCATTCCCCACATACTGGGGAATGCATGCCAAGAAAGGGAACAATGCCAGGACAAAAATGGTAAAAAATGTTCCATTAATTACAGATAACTGAATTATTTTCTCTACATTTAATTTAAAAGCTACCATTCAGCAACATTTGGAACCCATCTACGCTTTTATGGATCCAGGTTTGGCGATCTTAACACGAAGACTCCAAGCTCAGAGGTAATAATATTGGCTAGCCCCCAAGGACAGATCCACAGTTAAGGGCCAACAGATGACTCAGGAGGACACACTGTTTTAAGGACAATTCTGCACTGCAGCCTAAGCTGCTGGTCTCCCCTGCTACATTTTAAACCTACTTCAGAAATTTGAACTTCCACTCCAGATTGAAGTGGGGTGGATGCTGAGACCACAATACTGTATAGAATTGGCTGTTCCCCCTGCTTTTTGCCCTTACTTACTCATTCAGGAAAGCAACCCTAATTGACTGGCTTCTGTGTAGACTGCTCTACCAGTGTGTATTTTTTCCATTTTAGGGATTGTTCCTTTCTGACTAGTCCCTGTTGTTTACTTTGCTTTCCCAGTTATTTGCACACATGGATGAATTCACCGCCCTTTCCAACATTTATCTCTTTTGACACCAACACAGACACTCCCTCCCTTTTTCCTAATGTATCATCCTAGTTGGTACAATAATCAAAGCATTAGGGAACAGGTTGTTCTTTGGTGCCTCTGTAAGTTCATGAAAACTTTCTAGCAAGGAAAAACTTCACAGAAACAAGGCAGTAAGTTTGTTGAGATCTAAAGATGTTTAAAAAAAATAAAGGGAACCTTTGTGGTACTGTGAGTATGGCATGGCAGAGCAAGATACTTCATCCCACCTGAGCAGAAACAGAAAGCATGAGCACATGGAAATAGTAGGTAAATGAGGTATGGCCTTCTTAGTCTGAGAATGGGCGTTGGTAGAAGTTACCGTGAACGCCCTTTCTATCTATGCTGCGAGAGAGCCCAGGATGGGTTGACTCCTTCCTATGACATCATAGCTGAGTCTGTACTAACATATAAAAGCCAGGCCCCGGGAGAGACCCCAGCTTTGGCCAAGATACTTGACAGACTGAAAGGTGTCTCTGAAAGCCCAAAATAAATACAGAAATATGTCTTACCCTCTCCGGACAAATCAAGGGAGGGGCTGGGCTCTCTCACAGCATAGATAGAAAGGGCGTTCATGGTAACTTCTACCAATGCCCATTCTCCTCCATGCTGCATCGAGAGCCTAGGATGGGACATACCAAAGTTTGCATGTCCACGGGCGGGTCCTCGTCTGGCTCATCACACCGACTGTAGAACCACTCATTGAAGCACCCGTCTGCCAAAGGCTGCAGTCGCTGAGGCAAAAGCATCCAGACGGTAGTGTCTGATGAAAGAAGATGGGGATGTCCACGTAGCCGTACGACAAATCTCCAAGGATGCTTGGGTCATCCAGGCAGCAGAATTGGCTGCGCTTCTGGTAGAGTACGCCGTCAGACCCCGGGGAAGCGGAAGGGCCGCAGCTTTGTAGGCCTGCTCAATGCAAGACCTGACCTACCCTGCTAATAGTAGGAGAAGAGGCCTTGTGCCCCAAGTGAGAAGGGAAAAAGGAAACAAACATGGCTTCCGACTTCCTGAAGGAGGAAGTGCACTTAATGTATATTCTAAGAGCCCTTCTTACGTCTAGCGTGTGCCACTGCCGCTCTAAGTCATGGTGCGGGAGAGGACAGAAGTCAGGCAAAACAATGTCCTGGACCTGTGAAACCAGGTGTTAACCTTCGGAATAAATGAGGGGTCCAGACGAAGAACAACCCTATCATCGTGAAAGGAACAAAGGTCCTGTCTGATGGAAAGAGCAGCAAGCTCGGAAACCCTCCTGGCAGAAGTGATGGCAACAAGGGACACTACCTTCAGAGTCAGGAAATGGAGAGACACTGTTCTAAGGGGTTCAAAGGGGGGCTTTTTAAGGGCATTAAGGACCAAATGAAGGTCCCAGGAAGGATACCTGTGAACCACCAGAGGGTGCAGGTTGGAAGCCCCTTTCAAAAACCTCCTGACTGAAGTGTGATGGGATAAGGAAGGATGCAAACCCCATGAAAGGACTGAGGAGAGGGCCGCAACCTACCTGCGTAAGGTGTTGGGGGCCAAACCTTTCTCCAGCCCATGCTGAAGGAAGCTAAGAACTTCTGCCAACTGGGCTGAAGCAGGAGAAAGACCCTCCCTGAGGCACCA